TTCACCAAATTTAGAGGTTTTCAACCATTGTTTCTTAACTCCGATTTAATATAAGACTGGAAATCCTAGCAAGTGCAATAAGGCAGAAAGAAAGAAAAAAAAAAGAATGGAAAAAAAAAACAGGTTAATCTTGGAAGGGAAAAATAAAACTATCTCCATTCCTGGAAGATATAATGATCTATTCAGAAAACCCTAAGAGATTTTTTTTAAAAGCTTTTATGTACATTTAGCAAGATCACAAGACTTGAGTCCATATACAAGTCAATCATATTTTAGTATCTCAGCGATGAACAATTGGAAAATGAGTTTTTTTTTTTTAATCTTAAAGTTTTGCTAAGAATAGGGTGGCTAAAACAATAGAAATTTATTTTCTCACAACTTTAGAAGCTGGATATCAAAGATCAAAGTGTCAGCAGAGGGCTTGGTGTGTAGCTCTGTGGTAGAGCACATGCTAAGCATGCACAAAGCTCTGGGCTCAGTCTTCAGCACACACACACACACACACACACACACAAAGGAGCATCAGATCTGGTTTCTGCTGAGACCTCTCCCCTTGGCTTGCAGATGCCCACCTTCTCCCTGTGTCCTTAAATGGCAGAGAGAGCAAGTTCTGGCACCTCTCCCTCTTCTCATAAGGATACCAGTTATATTGGAACAGGGTCCACATGACCTTATTTAACCTCAATTACCTTGGCTCTGTCCCCAAACACAGTCACATTCTGAAGGACTGGAGGTTAGGACTTTAACAGATGAATTTGAGAAGATGCAGTTTAGTCTACAACAGTATTATTTAACAGTTTGATCAAAAATGATTATAGAGATATAAATCTTAAAAAAAATGTGCAAGATCCATATGGTGAAAACTTCAAAATGTTAACGGAGATCAAAGAAGACCTAATAAATGGAGAAACATACTGTGTTCATGGACTGAAAAAAACACCGTGTTACCAGAGACCTAGGCCAGACCCCCAGAGTCTGGGGTCCCCAACCAATCAGGTCTGGCCACTTGCCCTGAAAACCAAATGGAAAAGTAATAGTGACAAGCAGGAAAGGAATTTTAATATAAGTATGGTCACATTGGGAAGGCAAGGGACCAGCATTTCCAGCCCTGTCTTTGGGGATACTAAGTGTGCACAGTCAAGCAGTCTTGGTCAAAAAAGTGATCTGACCGATCATTATTTCAGGATTGATCGGGTGGAACCTTGTAGGCAGCTTTAAGAGAGTTCCTGTTGCCTGGGAGGTAGTTTCAACTCATCACAAGCTGTTTATTGATCAAACATATTGTTCCTGGAATACAGTTTAAATACAATTTAAATTTCTGCAAATATTTTTGACCATTCTGTGGATTGTCTTTTCACTCTATTGATAATGTTCTTTGATGAACAAAAGTTTTTAGTTTTGATAAAGTCCAACTTACTTATTTTATTTTGTCAAAGAGAATGACTTAGAGCAAAGGAGACCCTGATTTTTTTCAGGGTTGCTTTTTTTTTTTTTTTTTTTGGAGTTTTATATTGTAGTAAAATATGCATAAGTTCAAATTTATCATTTAGCCATTTTTAGGTGTATAATCAATGACATTAAGCACATTCACAACATTGTACAACCGTTGTTATTATCTATTTTCAGAATTTTTTCATCATCCCAAACAGAAAATCTGTTCCCATCAAATATTAACTCCTCACTCTTTACTCCCAGCCCCTGGCCATCTCAATTCCATGTTCTGTCTATGAATTTACCTATTCTAGACAAATTAAGCAAGTTGAATCATATATTTGTCCCTTTGTATTTGTCTTATTTTACTTAGCATAATGTTTTTAAATTTTATCCCTACTGTAGCTTACATCAGAATTCTATTCCATTTATGGCTAAGAAATATTCTGTTTGTGTTGATTATACTTTGTATATTCATCTATCTATTGATGGACACCTGGATTTTTTTCACCTTGTGGCTGTTGTACAAGTATCTGTTTGAGTTCCTGCTCATACTGAGAAATGTAACTGCTGGGTCACATGGTAATTCTGTTTAATTTTTTTAAGCAACCACTAAACTATTTTCCACAGTGGTTGCAACATTTTATATTCCCACCAATGCACAAGGGTTCAGCTTTCTCCATATCATCACCAACACTTTTTTCTTTTAAATTTTATTGATAAAAGTCAAATTAATTGGTATAAAGTGATATCAAGTTGTGGTTTCAATTTTAATTTCTCTAATGACTAACGGTGACCAATCTATTAATGTGCTTATTGGTCATTTGCATATCTTATTTGAAGAAATGTCTTTTCAAATCCTATGTCAATTTTTAAATTATGTTGCTTGAGTTTTTTGCTGTTGTTGTTGAGTTGTGGAAGCTCTTTATATATTCTGTATATTTAAATTTCTGTAAATATTTTTGACCATTCTGTGGATTGTCTTTTCACTCTATTGATAATGTTCTTTGATGAAGAAAAGTTTTTAGTTTTTTTATTTTTTATTTTTCGGTGGACACAACATCTTTGTTTGTATGTGGTGCTGAGGATCGAACCCGGGCCGCACGCATGCCAGGCGAGCGCGCTACCACTTGAGCCACATCCCCAGCCCCAAGTTTTTAGTTTTGATGAAGTCCAACTTACTTATTTTGTTTCTTCTTCGCTGTGCTTTGGGGTTATATCCAAGAAATCACTGACAAATCCAATGCCATGAAGATTTTTCCCATTTTCTTCTAGGAGTTTTATAGTTTTAGCTCTTAGAAGTTTAGGGTTTTGATCCATTTTATAGTTGATTTTTATATACAGTGTAAAGTAATAGTCCCATTTAATTCTTTTACTTGTGCACACTACCTATTTTTAAGATGTATCATGAAGCTGTGGTAGTTGAAACAGTGTGGTATTGGTGAAAGGATAGATACATACTGACATGGTCAGCTTCCCTGCTTCCACCCCATCCCACCCCCTGTACAGTAAAAACAGGATCCTTAGGCTTAGGGTTGAACACCTTTTAGAGGAAATAAGACAGCCAAGCTAGCTCTCTGTCTTCTGGAAAGTTAGGAGTTAAAAGACGCACCAGTCTTCAAGGCTATGGGAATGAGATTATATGCCAGGAGATGGGAGGCTGGAAAAGTTATCTTAGTCTTCTGAGATTTTGTGGTCCACAAAATGCCAGCTAAAGCCAGACATCAGACTTTCCCAGATGATAAGGGGCAACTCCAAGTAGTGAAGGACAGGTGCACACATAGAATAGTCACGAAACTGACCCCCAGTTATTAGCCTAGTAAAATGCACACCCCCAGGGGAAGACTTATGATGGTAGTGAGAGCCAGGTACAGTGGCTCACATGCCTCTAATCTGTGATTTGGGAGGCTGAGGCAGGAGGATCCCAAGTTCAAGTTCAGCCTCAGCAACCTAGTGAGGCCCTTAGCAACTTAGCAAGATCCATCTCAAAATAAAAAACAAAAAGGTCTGGGGATGTAGCTTAGTGGCCAAGCACCCCTGGGTTCAATTCCTGGTACAAAAAAAAAAAAAAAAAAAAAATGGCAGTGCATGAAGGAGCATGATGCAGGGGCTAATGTCCCACCTTTGTCTGTGATGACACAGAAGGTCCCAGCTCCTGCCTACCCCACAGATGCATAAAAGCTGTTCATCTTTGTTCTTTGCTTGAACTGGCCTAACACACTCTTTCAGTGCTATAACTTCCTTCTGGCTTGAGCAGAAGTCCCTGATAAAGCCTTGCCTGTGCTTAAATTCTTTCCAGATCCAGTGTTCATTTCCACAACTCTGGATCCAAGAAGCAAGAGTTTGGTAACAATCCTAATGCAACAGACTGAAAATTCCAGAAATACACCCACACGAGTATGATCAACTGATTCCCCCCTTCCTATTTTTCCCTTTTGTTTTTCTTTATTTTGGCCAACTGATTTTTGAAAAAAATATATTTTTTTTCAATAAAAAACAGTTTTTTTTTTCACTAAAACTTCCCCAAAAGAAGCTACATGGTGCCTTAATGCCAGATTCTGCCTATTAATGTTTGCCCCATTCTTGTCCTCAGAAGCTCTACTCTGAATTGCAGGGATGCCGGGAGCCTACATTCTGTAGGTTACAGTTGCAATTTTGCCTGTGGACTTCAAAGGCTAGAGATTATAAAGTAGAAGGTAGAGATTGTTGTTTCAGGCTGTAGCAATGGCAAGTGACCACAAGTGATCACAGGTGAACACAGATGACGGTGGGCTCCAGAAACAACATAAGCAAATACAGGCTTATGGACACAAGACCAAAGGTGTTATCAGCTTTCTGGGTGAAATTTTCTTCTCCCTTTTTCTCACCCAGCTCTTTGAACATATTCATATCCACTTTCTAGAATTAAAATTTCCCCTGCATGAAATAACTAGAATTGGTTATTTTACCAGCAACACATAGAATTCGCACATAATTCCTCCTTCAGTCTGACAGAAACTAATCTGAGCCTATCATTTATCAACACTCCCCGAGAATATCTGATGAGGCAAATTCAAATGCTCTCAGCTAATCTATCTTTGGTTCCCTTCTTCCTGGAGGAACCCCCATACCCAGCCCACTTTCCATCATGAACTCCCTAGAACCATCATCTCTGTTACTCTCTTGATTGACACAATCGGTGCAGGTCATCCCTGCTGACCGGCATTGTTGTATTTGCCATGTGTGTGACTCCCTGCCTACACTTCATAGTAACTGGCCTCCACTTGGCATGTCTCTCTATGTATTAAACTGTCCCCTCTTGACTGGAAGCCTCAGGAAGCTAGGTAGACATTTTGACCCTTGCATGCTTGGCAGGTGCTTACAGAGTGTAAGGGCACCTCCAGCAGAAATTTGCAGGCACAAATGTATTGCTTTGCCAAGCCCCGTATCCAAGGCTCCAGGTAAGATCCTCTTTCCACACAGTCTTCAGAAGTCACCTGGTGAGAGTGGGTGCACAACAGGATAAGAGGTGGGCTGAGGCCTGCCCTTGGGGAGAAGATCTGGGACATGGAGACAATAGGAAGATCAGCTAAGGTGCCAGGTAGCTTTAATGAGCTGAAGCACCCCTACCCCCACTTTGTCCCTCCCTCCCCACTCTTCCCCTTCAGTTCTGGACAGGTCCAGCCTGTCCAAGACGTTGGCTCTCTTCAGCTTAATCCTTCTGTCCCCTCAATCGCTCCAGTCGCCTTCGAAGATCTGGGGGCACCTTGACCCCTGCTGCCAGCAGCTCTCTCAGTCTTTGTTTGGGAGTCTTGGTGAGCATGAAATTGCAGGGGACAGGGCCCTCTTCAAAGGTGACCCGGCAGGTCCGTGTCACTGAATGGTAGCCCTCAGCACTGGCGGTCACCATATAGTCCCCTGGGGTCAGCAGCCGCCAGTAATCCCCGCCCCAAGCTGAGGGGAGTAAAAGGCAAGGTCAGGGTCCAACAATCCTCAGCTCCTGACCCAGCCTGAAGTCTTCGAGCTCCTCTCTCAATACCCCCCCAGCCCCTCCTTCACTCCCCCCCCACATACCCGTTGTAACGTCATGGTTAATCCCCTCCACAGCAATGACAGCATCAGCAATCCCAAGCTGTGTGTCTTTGTCCCGCACAACTCCTGCAATGCCCATGCGCACCTGTGTGGGAAAAGGACATCAAAACCCTTTCCCCTCTGCACAGAATGTGACTCTCAGCTAGCTTTCTGGCTCTGGTCCCCTGCAAACTCGATAAAGAGAGTATGTCTACTACATGTTCCTAGGTGACAACATTTCTGGTAAAATTTCCTCCTGGTTAATAAATTACATCTGGACTGGTAGGAAGAGAAACCTTTGGGCTTCCCCAAGTTTAGTAGCCATTGTCTTTTGTAGAACCCTTGGAAGTTGCTCTTATGGAGCCATCGCAAGGCATAGGAGTCCCTGATGAACATGATGTTTCTGTGTCAGGGAAGTTTCTGCCACTACCTAATGTTTTTTTCTGAGAAGAGCTCTTCTGAGGATAGGTCTAGGACAGCTCTAGGACCACCTCTAGACTGCTCTGGGGTCTAGTCCCACTGGCTTACAATGCCTGACACTGTCCCACTTACAAAACATTTCCTGTCCTAGATCCTTCCAAAATTATCTGATGTCAGGTATCTTAGAAGATTCCCTGACAATCGGGCATGGTAGCACACGCTTGTAATCCCAGCGGCTAGGGAGGCCGAGGCAAGAGGATCACGAGTTCAAAGGCAGCCTCAGCAACAGTGAGGCACTAAGCAACTCAGTGAGATCCTGTCTCTAAATAAAATACAAAATAGGGCTGGGGATGTGGCTCAATAGTTGAGTACCCGTGAGTTCAATCCCCAGTATCCCTGCAAAAAAAAAAGAAGACTCCCTGGTGGTAACTAGCCTAAATGGAGAGTGGAGTGGTCAGGACACAGGCATGCTGAGGGCTGTGGGGATTCACATCCAACCTGCTCCAGGTAGGTGAGGAGGGCGTCTTTGTTGTTCTCCCATTCTTGGGGCAGCTCGTTCTCATGAGGGAACTTGTCACAGGACAGCTCCACAGTGACCTCAAAGCAGTTGGTATGTAGGTAGCTGAAGTCATTCATGCCTAGAGGTATCACAGACACTGCAGCCTAAGGAGCAGGATGGGAGTCCCACCCTCCTGGGGCCCTCCCCCAGGAGACACTTCAGAGTGGGAATTGCCATGAGCACTGCACGTAAGAGCAGACTGTCTTATGGGGCAGGGATTTACAGGGATGGGGCCAACTCCACCCTCTGGCACATACTCCCGGGGACTGTGTGCCAGTCAGCCCCGTTGATGATGTTGCCATGCAAAGAGAAGTCCTGGCTGTGGCAGGGTCGGCGATCTGTGTCCTGCATGACCCGATTAGTGCCAGCATAGACAGTGCTGAGCCAGCGAAAGACAGCATCATCGGGCGTCGGGGTGAGTTCACGGGCAGCCCACGGGGTCCGAGTCATGTCGAATGGGTAAGACACCACCAGCTCACCCCCATGGAGATTGGCACTCAGCACAAAGGGGATCCGCTTCATCCACTCAATCACTGCCCGTGTTTCAGGAGCCACCTGAATAGGGGTGGGTCAGGAGGGCCGGACACAGAGACAAGGCTCCCCTAGGTGGTCCTCCACCACTGCCCCCAGAATACTCACAGTGGCATTGGGCAGAGTGTAATAAGTAGGCAGTGGCACATGATGGTTGGGGAAAACGTGGGGCACCAGCCCATCATCCTCGGCATCCCACAGTGGTGTGTTGAGGTCAGCAAAATTGTGGTTAAGGTCAATGCCCTGGTGGTTCCAGCGACCTTCTGCCCAGCCCACAAGCTCTGAGCCCTGACAGAGAAGGGGCTTGTTTAAGCCATACAGGCTCTGGGCACCAGGGCAGAAGGGGCAGGGGGCCCTCGTGCCAGGTGGCCTACCCGGCGGTAGGCGGTCTCATAGCCATCAGGGTTCATGGAGGGCAACAGGTGAATGCGCATCTCAGTGAGCAGCCGGGTCACTCGTGGGTTCCCACGCAGGAACTCATGGCACAAGAACTGCATCAGGAGCAGAAGCAGCTCCCGCCCCAGGGCCTCATTCCCATGCATGCCAGCCACATAGCGTACCTCAGGCTCTCCTGGGAACACAAGGGGCTAGCACCTGGCTCACACCCATGGTCTGCCCTGGGCCCACCTCTTCCCCATGCCACCTGCCAGTACCCAGCTCATGCTCCCCAGGCTGGTCTGACATTTCCATCACATATAGCTTCAGGCCCTGGTAGCTCTTCCCAATGCTGTAGATGCGGGTGATGTTGGGGCATTGCTCATTCACCTCCTTCATCAGCTGAGGGACAGAGGACAGCATGACATGAGGCATAGAGGGATTACATGCAGGGCTTAGATCACATGTAACTATGGAAGGATTTACAGAGTCAGTGGTGGCCCAAGAAGAGAGCAGCGTACCAGGAAGGAAGGGGCAGAGCAAGGGAAGTGCCATGACAGGGCAATTGGGGGAAAGCTTAGTGGTCAACAGAAGAGAAGCAGGAGATAGGGGTAGGAGACGTAGTAGGGGATGTGAGCAGTCAGAATTGTTATGCCTGGGTGAGAGAAGGACCCCAGCTAGGCAAACCAGCCTTCACAGGGTTATAGGGTCATATCTGACCTTCCTCATGGCCTTATAATTGTGATGCCGAAAGTCCAGAGGGTCAGAAGATCCCAGCGAATGGGCCTCCGGGGGTAGGTCATTAGGATCTGGTAGTGGATGAGTTCAAGGCAAAGGGTAAGTTCACAGTGGGGGATTCACCCTGTACATCCAGGCCCTGCCCATCCAGCCTCTGCCCAGTTGCCCACCTGAGACAGGGCAGGCCAGGATCTCTGCCCGGAGGCAAGGCGCACCTTCCTGGAACCAGGTCTGGGGCAGCAGACGAATGAAACGGGCCACCTGAGGCTCTGGCAGGAGGTTCAGCACTGGGGTTTCTGGGTCTGAATTGGCAGGAAATACCTGGGGACATCAAGTCCTTTGCTGAGGCTGCTCAAATCCCAGCCTGGCTCAGGATCCAGGGAAGAAGAGTAGGCCTCCAAGTTCACCAGTGAACCCTTCCTGGTAGTTCAGCTATAGATTTGCACTTTCCTGTGAATGTGGACCCCTTCCTTGCCCAAGCCCCTGCCCATGGGCAGCCCTAGAGAGTCATGTTTTCTGGCTTGGTCACAGCTCATTAGATCAAGATGGCTACATAACTTGGGAAAAGCCTATCTGTAGTCTGGTATAAAAGGGGTCACTGACTTAGAGAAACCCAGAGCAATGAACAGATGAGAAGTGATTCAAGCCAGAAGGGATGTCCCCAGAGGAAGCTGAGCAGGAGGTAGCATCCACCCCATGGCAGAGTTATCAAGGACATGGACACATACCAAAGCAGCCTGCTCCCAAGATACCTGCTGGTGTCACCCATCCTGACCAAAACACTCTTTCTCCTGGATCGGTTAAGTGGACATCTATTATCCTCAAAGGAGTCTCAGTCCAGCCAAGCACACCACGGTGGGTTGGGTGCCCAAATCCCAGCATAGAGGGTCCCAGTAACTATGGGACCACTCACCGCATCCATCCCACTGCTGTGGTTCCGACTTGTCCACCAGGTCCGACTGTCATTGCTGAACTGGACCTTGTATGATGTAACCCAGTCATACCTGGCAGGAGAGGTGAGATATCAGTGCCCCCAGGAGTCCCACAGCAGCCCTCCTGTGTCCACCCACAACTACCTGGCCAAGGGCTGGCCTGCCTCACCTCCAGACAGAGTTCCTGCCCTGTGTGACAATGCCTGAGAAGCGGATGGGGTTCCTAGCATCCACCTGAAACCATGGCTCAGTGTCCTGCTGCTCAGCACACCAGGCACCATCGTATAGATCACCATCCTCCAGGCCTGACTGTGGACCCAAGACAAGGTGATCAGGCCCAACGGGCAGAGTAGGGTGGACTGGGACAAGAAGGGAGCAGGGGAGAAGGTCCCAGGTATTCCCCTGCCTACCCCTTGGACCTGGACTCTGAGCCAGGGTTGATTACCTGGATGTTGAGCCGACCTCGATGTGGTCCAAGACCAAAGGACTGGCTGCTGGATGCCTCAAACTGGCTATCTGAAACTCGCAGGGACTCCAGGCCCAAAGGGGGACAGCCTAGGGTAGAAAAACAGAGCATTAAGATGCTGAGCATGGTGGTGCACGCCTGTAATCCCAGCAGCTCGGGAGGCTGAAACAGGAGGATTGCAAGTTCAAAGCCAGTCTCAGCAACAAAGAGGCACGAAGCAACTCCGTGAGACCTTGTCTCTAAATAAAATACAAAATAGGGCTGGGGATGTGGCTCAGTGGTTGAGTGCCCCTGAGTTCAATCCCCAGTACCCTCCCCCCACAAAAAAATAAAAAATAGAACCAGAGAGAGTTGTCAGAGCAGGTAAGCTGAGCATAACTTGCTCCTGTGCTGGGTAGACAGAGGGGTATACCCGTGCCCATGAAGCCCGGAGAGCCCTAAGCCTGGGAAGTCTCTAGAAAGGAAGTACCTGGTTCTTGTTTCTCAGGGAGATTAGGAGACCCTGTTGGGCTGGTGGTCACCATGGGCTTGGCAGTCACTGGAGGACTGGGGCGAATTAATTTCTTTCGCTTCTTCACAATGACCTTTTTCTTTTTGATGACTCGAATCTGAATCTGTTGTTCTGAAGTCGCTAAGGTCCAGAGGGACAGCACCAGGGAGAAGGAAGAACAGCATGAAACCTCAGATGGAAAGATTTTCCAGCCAAGAAGACATGTGAGTCCATGGCAGGCTCAATGTATCAAAGGGCTTAGGATGGCAATGAAGGCATGCAGTTGGGCCCCCATCGACCTTTCCAGTCATTTCACTGGCATCCACTTCTTTCTGATAACCACATGGTTGGCCAGCCTTACTTCTGACCCTATGGAGAGATAGACCCAGCCACCAGAAACTGGTTGGTTGTTCCAAAGAGCTGAGTTTGGTTCTTTATATCCAGGCCTTGCAGTATCTGTCCATTTCCCCTGAAATATTATCCTTCCTCAGCTTCAGACCGGATTTCATGTCCCAAGGCCCCAGGGCTGCCTGTATTGGTACATTTGCCCTCTGGGCTGACTTGAAACATCCCCAAATCCACATCTGCCTGGCAGCTGGGCCTGCCTGCTCACAGCACAGGGCAGTACTGTAGTTTCTAACCGTATATGTGCCACAGCTGCCTTCAGAATGTGCCTCACATTTTGGTGTTGGGGCCCCTGCCCTTTTGCACATACTATTTTCTTCTCACCAGCCCCCTCTGGTCAGTTCATCCTGACTCAGAAATCCCTTCAGGGCCTGGATCCACTTACCTCTCTAGAAGCCCGCCATTGCCATCTCCTTGCCTTCCTCCCCTAGGCTTCCCCATCTGGGAAGTTGGGAGGTCATGCAGACGGCCTCTCCAGTCCAGAATCAGAGCTCCCTTCCTCCAAGCAGCCTCAGCCCAAAGCCTCGCCTCTCCCTCTTTTCCTTTTGTTCTTTCTCTCCAGCCCTTCTCCTTAAACTCTGTCCTGTCCAAGCTTGCCCTGAACCTTTTCCTCTGGTGCCTTTGCATCTCTTTGTCCCTTTCTTCAAGCCCTGGCCTCAGTTTCTTTATCTGAGAAAAGGGAAGGCTTGGGGCTAGAGCAGGCAGCATTCCACTGGTGTGTGTCCCAGTGCTGCTGGCTAAATCTGGCTGGGAATCAGGCCGGGATTGCTGAGTCAGCGACTATTGCTTTGGGCAGGGTGAGAGGGAGAGAGAGAGAGAGTGAGTGAGTGAGTAAAAGAGAGGGAGGGGAGGGAGGGAGAGAGGGAGGGACAGAAGGGGCGCCAAGGAGCAGAAGAATGGAGCAGGGTTTTCTGTGTGTGTGTTTGTGTGTGTGGGTGTGGGGGTGTGTGCGCGCGCGCGCGCCTGTTTGTGTTGAGGAGGGGGCACCATAAGGGGCCCGGAAGTGGGGCAGAGTGTGTGGGTGCGAGTATGTATGTGTGTTGAGGAGGGGGCGCCACAGGGGACCGGGGAGTGGGGCCACCACTAGCCGGAGCTGCGGGGTCTGGGTCCTGGAGCTCACCGTTAGTCTTCCCGGGCGGCTGTGCAGGACTGCTACGCGGAGCCGGGGTCGAGCCCGTGGCCTCGGTGGTCGCCGACGGTGTTAGGCCCAGCACGGAGGCGCTGGGCGCCCCCAGACCCAGGCCGACAGAAGGCGCTAAGGCCGCCAAGGCCAGCAAGAGACCCCACATGTCGGGCGCAGAACTCCGGCGCTCAGGACTGCGAGCGGTCGGTGGGTTTGCCTTTTCCTGCCTGCTGCTCAGGAGCCCCCCGCCCCTTCCTGCCTGCCCCACGCCCCTCTGCAGCCTCTGGTCCGCCCACTGCCGCCTCTCTGGCCCTGGACCTGCGAGGATGGGGGAGAACCGGAGCACTTCAGACCCCCGGGAGAGCGCGGGCTGCGACCAGGCGGCCCCGGGTCTCTGGACCTGCCCCTCCCTCTCTGGCCATCCCGGGCTAACTCGCCTCATCCGTGCGCTGTCCTTTACTATCTGCAAAGCCATATATGTCGCTAAGTCCTGGGAGGCGCTTGTCCCCACTGGGAGCACCTACTTTGCACGGTACACGATGCCAGGCACTTTATGCGTGGTCTTTCCATCAAACCCCATTTTACAAAGTGGTAAATTGAGGTTCAGAGCGGCTGACTTAACCAAGGGAGCAAAGCTGAGAAGTTTGGGGTGGAAATAACCCGAGAGGGAAAGCCATCCAGAACCACAGGTTACCTTGCCAGGGCGGGCGGGACAGAAGGGGAAGAAGAGGACGGGGAAACTGAGGCAGGGCACTGGGTGCTGATGGGAAAGGACTTTCGTCCAGGAATCCTTCTGACAGACTACTCCAGGGACTCAACCAGAGTCGACTCTTCCCATCACCACCCCCACCCCCACACCGCCCCCAGCCCCGCCTCCCCTCTCTCCTCCCCTCCCCTCCCTGCTCCTTTGCTCTCTCGGCTGCCACGTTCTGTTCCGGGGTTACATAACTCGAGGAGAGCGGCCAGAGTGATACCCGGCGGGCTGGGGCCAGCAGGAGAGGAACAGAGACTGGACCCCCTCCCTCCCTTCCCGGCTCCATCTCCTAGCCCCTTCCCATTGTTCCCTTCCGGGAGTCCGCAGCCCTGATTCTCCATTCGCCCGACTACCCCAGATCCCGGAATTACAGAGCGCAGGACCATTCTTATCTTGCCTCCAAGGTCCCCTTTGAGTGCTTCCAAGCCGGGGTCACCTCTCCGGGGAAGAAAATGCGTCCACTACGCGCCTTTGGCCAGCTCTTTGCTGTCATCCCATGAAAACAGATGCCAGAGGCAGCCAAGAATCATCTGGAATGCTCGGGGTCCTGGGCAAATATTTTTTTATTTTATTTTTGCTAGGCCACTCTCTCTATAAGCAATTCGAATCACCCCAAATCAGCGTGTCAGCACCATGCTAGCGGAGCAAGTTCACACGATCCCTCGAAAGAAATACCGCAAGGCGCTCCCAAAACTGAGAACTACCACTGACAGGGAACATAACTTAGGCACGAGCCCTTTAGCTCCTCAGGGCATTTGGTGCACTCCACGCGTCCTGGCTAGAGGGCTAGAGAGTCCCCGGAAAGTGGGTAATTGGACAGGGCCCACGCGTGACCATATCCCTTCTTGGAGCACTCCACTTAGACAGCATTGTCTGGTCCAGGGCACAGGAGAGAGGAACATTGAAAATTTAAAGGGAACCGCTCCAAAGCGGGGATTCCCTTGGCACAGGGCTGAGACAGATGGACAGTATTGCAGACTGACACTTGCCTGCTTTCCCGGAGTGGGAGGCCACGGTCTGAACAGTTACTGGGGGGGTGGGGGCTGCCGGGGCTCCACAAATGCCCAGTCTGACAGCTTCTCTGTCTCTGGCCCCAAACGCCATTCAGGTTTCCCTGAGAGGTGTAAAAAGGTGGAGGGGGTGGGGTGGGGGGTTGGTGCACAAGAAACCGGATATCTTGCTGGCCTTAGGGCCTCCAAAGGCTGAGACTGAAGGATTGCATGCCAGGACAATTTAGCAGACCCTATCTCAAAAGGGGGGGAGGGGGATTGGTGGGGATGGGGGCGGGGCACTGGGGATGTAACTCTGAGTAGTTCAGTGCTTGCCAAAAATGCTTTAGGACCTGGGTTCAATCCCCAGTACGAGGGAAAAAAAAAAAAGGACATCTCTGCCTCCCAAACTTCTCAACCCCTTCCTCCAAGTCCTTCCTCATACAGCAGACAAATCCTGTCAAATTCCTCCAGCTTAAGTCCCTAGTGTGCTCACTGGCATGGTCCTTCATAACCAAGTTCTTTCCTACCCATTCGGTTCCAGCTGCATCTGCCTGTGCAATTCCCCTGGCTCCTATTTCTCCAGCCAGCCACACTGCCTTTCTAGCTGTTCATCCAACACACCAGCCCCACCCAGCTTCTGGATCTTTGCAATTGTTCGACAAGTTTGCATTCTCACAATTGAGAAATTTCCTTTCTCACTGAGATTTCCTTTCAATGTCACTTGCTTGCAAAGGCTATCCTGACCTCTCTAAAGTAAGCTTTATCTTCGTGGTCACATTCTCCCACCATCACCATCACCACTACTAGGAGGTAGGTACCCCTCCAGAAGAGCCTTTGCACCCATTGTTCACAGCCACACCTCAAGGCTTAGAACAGCGCCTGGTCCCTACTCACACTCAAAAGTATGTGTATGATATATTCAAGGTTATAGAGGACCAAACAGGGCCAGGTTATGCACAAGAGGAGAGAGCAGGCCATGAACCAAAAGCCCACCTAGCCAAGAGGACTAGAGTAAAACGATTGGCTTCCTCCCACCAGTCACTAATGGTTTGGATCTATGGGATCCTGGTACCACTTCTGTCCCAACTCCCACCCCCTCACCTTCTTTCTCACTGCTCTAAACTCCTTGCCTCTTTGCCATATTGCAATCCTTGGAGCTCCTCATGCCCTTCTGAGTCCCCCAGCACCTTCTCACATCCTTCTGCGCTTCCAGTTCAGCTACTGCCTCTGGCCCTAACCTTTCTGGGTATCTGGAGCTACAAAGGCACAAAGCCCCCAAAGGTGGTTGCTTCGGAGGCAGTAGCAGGTTTGTGCCCAAGTACCTGCCCAGCCAGATGTCTATATCTAGGTTAGAAGGTCTTTTGTGGTCTCATGACGATAAGTATGTATTACAAAGCATAACTAAGTAGGACTAGGTGGGAGCACCCAGCCAAAAGAGATTTTAGTGTAAGATTCTCAGTGTAAGAACCGGATGTGACTACACATATTTGGAATTCCAGTTACTCTGGAGGCTGAGGCAGGATGATCATAAACTCAAGGTCAGCCTCAGCAATTTAGCAAGACCCTGTTTCAAAATAAAAAATAAAAAAGTGCTTGGAATGTATCTCAGCTCTCCTGAGTTCAATCCAGAGCGGGTGGGCAGGAGAGGGAGAGAGACTGAGATTTTTAATTTAAGGAAGGGGCTAAAAATCTCCTGCCAGCTCTCTGGTATGGTCAAGTTGCTGGGAATAGAGAGGAGATACACAACTTTGGCACCAACCAGGTTTATTTTCACATCCCACTATGTTTTGTTTTATCCTTGGACACTAGGTCCGCCTTTCTACTCAGACTCAGTTTCCTCTTCCATAAAACGGGAACCATATCTTCCTCACAGGGTTACTGTGATGATGAAGTAAGATAATGTGTGGTCCCAGGAGCCCCTAGATTAGTCAAATGAATTAAAGGTAGGGGAAAAAACACAGCCCTCTTGTTCCCACATATACAGGTGGAATAAAACAAATACCAAGGAAAAGAAAGGAGGTTATGTGTCTGGCTGTACATGTACTGAAGTGACAAAATCTACTGCCTACCTGTGGCTCCCAATCTTCCGTTCCTGATGCTAAGGCAGAACTCATCCTCTGACAGGTGCTTTATCTGTGATATAGATGAGCATTGATGGGGATTCCCATGACACTTAGATGCATAAGGTGACATTCCTCGGTACATGCCTATCTTCCCCTGACTATTGTCTCCCCAGATGTCTCTTTTTTTACCTCAATGTCTTTGACAGCCTTACCCTCAAAGTGTGGTTGAGGATGAGTAGTGTTGGCATCTCCTGGGAACTTGTTAGAAATTCGGAAACTCTGTCCCAGATGTACTGAATCAGATTCTGCATTTTAACAAGATTCTCAGAGGATTCAACCCCCAGAGATTCATTTGCACATTAAAGACTGAAAAGTACTATACAGAGGTTTAGAGCATGTCTGCCTAAAATGCGTAAGATTCACAACTTTCTTAGATTGACTGTGTTTGATACTGTCACTGGAAATTTTATCTTAAACCACAATACATCATATTTCCACATATCAATAAGAAATAATCTTTTATTCATTCTAGGAGTTTTTTCCTGATCTCCATAGCATAATCCTATATTATTTGCTTTTTAAACTAAATTATCTTTATCAAAATACTGCACAATAGAGTGTTTTGATAAAGATAATTTAGTATCAAGGTAAATCACATTTAGGTTTGTAATAGAAGACTCTTCCCTATGCCTTTCCATTTTCAAATCAATCACCTTTCATTCCTCTTGTTATTTCTCCTTTTTTATTTGCTTCTATTGCTATTTTTTGATTCTTCTGTTTACAAATTATCCCTGGATTTCCTAGTATGGAATTAAAGATGTAGCTCTCCTACGTGCACGCGCGCGCGCGCGCGCGCGCGCGCACACACACACACACACACACACAGATTTCCTTCCATCTTCCCAATAAAACTAAATCACCATTTGAAGTCAATGTTTAATATTTTTATTATGATCATGTAAATATCATTCAATTTTTGTGCTTTGTAGAATTAGTAAATGTTTTATTTTATTATTTGCTTGGTTTTCTGGGTACCAATTGTTAATATAACCCCACAATTTCCAATAGAATTGATTATTTACTCTGAATATATTTAACACTCCAATAATCAATTGATTTTATTTTCCTCTGTAGACTCTTCCTTAGAGCTCCTATCTTCTGGACCAGGCTATGTTGGTTGCCCTCTTCACATAAAGTAGGAGCCATATCAGATCTTTCTCATCATCCCTATTTTTAGACTAATTTCTTGAATGCCACATTGTCCTTTGGATTAGTTTGAGTCCTTGTTTTGCTGAAGCACATCTTCCAGTAGCTTTCTAAGAAAGGGTGCATGCAAGTCAAACTTTTGAGAACTTATACGGCTAAAAATATTCTGTCAATTGACAATCATTTGCACAGATATATGCTCCTATATTATACCTCATTTCCCCCTCAGAATTCTGAGGACATTTCTTTTGTCTCCTACCTACCAGTGTCAGGATTTAAAAGTCTGATATTCTGGTTTAATGTATGTGATCTTTATACTGTTAGGAAGTTCTTTGTAGAAACCCTCAATGATTTGAATTTTTTCATGTGCTGTGAACTGATGGGACCATATGGCCTAAAGACTTATGTCCCTCAGTTCTGAAAAGTTTCTTGATTTTTGAAAAAAATCCTTTCTATTGTAATTTTCTAAGACTAACATTATTCAAATATTGATTATCTGATTCTATTGACTTTTTCTCTTTTCTTCATGGGCTTCAGTTATTATTCTCTTTTCTGGGAGATTTCCTAACTTCTCAGAAGTATGCTGTAGCATTAATAAGTTCCATTGGTATCTTTTACCTCTGGTAACTGATCACAGTCCAGCTGCATTTCCATACTGTGGGTGATATCCAGGAATCAAAATGTCCATCCAGGAATCAAAGACTTGACAACCCCATCTTCTCATCCTTCCTTTTCTCAAATCATACTTTCACCATATTTCAGTGAGTCAAGGTTGACCTAGCGAATCCCACTTCTGACACCAATGCTTTCTGAGGGCCCAAGACGACCCTTGTGTTCAGTGGTTCAGATGAAGAACTCAAAGAACTCAGCAAAGTGGTCATACACATGGTCACAGTTTATTTCAGAAAAAGGGTACAGATGAAAACCTGCAATGGAAAAAGGTACATAGGGCAGGGTCCAGAAAACGTCAGGGACAAGTTTCTGGTTGTGATATGGAAATGGAATTAATTCCATTAATTTTCCCTGTACAACGTGTGACAACATACACAGAGTATTGCCCAAAAGGAAACTCTGAGCCTTGATGTCCCAGAATTTTACTGGGGGTCAATGGTGTAGATATAGTTGGCTATCCATGTGGCTGACCTTAGTTCAACCCCTCCAGAGACCAAAGTGAGAGTGCATGGTCCAGATCCCCCAGAATGAATCACATTTGTTGGCAGAGACTATCTGATATGGTCCTTGACTCCCATTAAATGAAAACACTTGCATTAGGCAAAATATTCCAAGGACTTGGAGGTACCGGTACCTCTGCGGAGCCTAGAAAGAGATAAATTGTTCTTTAGAATGAGCAAGACTTAGATAATCCAGACTTGCTGAGTTAATTCTTTACTGCATAATATCCACCGACATATACTGGTGGTTCTCCACTCAGCCCCTTTACAAACTAGTGCTCCACCCCACTGCTGTGTTTGCTGCTCTTAGGTCACAGCTGTCTGTTCTTTTCTCCAGACAAATGCCCTCAGCTGATAGGTGCTGCCTTCACCCACCTCTTAACCACCACTTCTCTCTCCCCTTTTCTCCTTGGAGGAGCCACAGCCACTGACTGACTGGCACAGATACATGGGACAAACTCAATAGTGCAATTCACCTTGCAGAGCCAACTGCAGTCAGAGTCAGGTTAGAGTCCAGCCAAGACCACATCCTTGTTTAGATTTTATCCCGGCCCTGTCCTGCTTCCCTTTCCTCACTCCCCAAAAAGTTGTCCTCCTGAGAGTACTCCCTCTGCAAATAATGTGTACACTCTGCTTTTAGGAATTATGACCAGTATCAGGCACAGTACCTGGCACTTAATAAATGATTGTTGAATGAAAAATAAACTCTGGTTCCGTGCAGTGGTGCATGCCTGTTATCCCACCCGTGATACAGGCCTGTAATTCCAGTGACTCAGGAGATTAAGGCACAAGTTTCACAAGTTTGAGTCCTGCCTCTGCAAATTAGTGAGGCCCTAAGCAAGTTAAAGCCTGTCTCAAAACAAAAAATAAAAAGGGCTAGGGATGTAGCTCAGTGGTAAAATGCCTCTGGATTCAATCCCTGTACCAAAAAGACAGAAAAATAAACTGAGTAAATCACAAATGGAACTCTCTAAGAAACGTATGCAGAGCACCTGGCACACAGCAAATCCTTTTTTTTAATATATAAAATTTTTATTCATTAATTATATCTTTTTAGTTATACATGACAACAGTATGTATTTTGACATATCTTACATACATGAAGTATAACTTCCCATTCTTGTGGTTGTACATGTGGAGTTACACTGGTTGTGTATTTATCTATGAACACAGAAAAAATGTGTCTGATTCATTCCTCTGTCTTTCCTATTCCCATCGGTCATCCTTTCCCTTTATTCCCCTTTGTTTAATCCAATGAACTTCTATTCTTCCCTCACCATCCACCAATTGTGTGTTAGCATCCGCATATCAGAGAGAACATTTGACCTTTGTTTTTGGGGGGATTGGCTTATTTTGCCTAGCATAATAGTCTCCAGTTCTATCCATTTACTTTCAAATGCCATAATTTCATTCTTCTTTATAGCTGAGTAATATCCCATTTTGTGTATATAAATGTATGTATACACACACACACACACACACACACACACACACACACACACATATATATATATATATATATATATATATATATATATCTCCAATACATTTTCTTTATTCATTCATCTGTTGAAGGGCACCTAGTTTGGTTCCATAGCTTAGCTATGCACACAGCAAATCTTTAAGGAGGATTAGTCACCCTCCATTCACCAACCTCTTGCATTATATAGTTTCCTCATCTTGGTGGAATCATTGGGATATTAACCTCAGATCTGTATGACCAGGAAAGAAATCTTACTCATGCATCCAGAATTGATCGGGCTTGGACAATCTTAAACCTCAATATTAATGTGCTTATTTACAAAGACAATTGGAACTTATGGGGGCAAAAAGCTAGGATCCTCCCTTATACTCTATCCTCTGTTATATATACCCTATCCCCTGTTATACCTGATCCCCTTATAGACAAATATATTTCAAAAGTCTAGTTGCTAGATAAAAAGAGCCAGAGTAAGAGAAATCGGTGGATGGTCCCAAGGGCTAGTGGTTTTGACTCTATGTTCTGCCAAGCCTGTTGTATGATCCTGATCCTTTTTATCTATTTCCTCTTCTTAGGGGCTGTATGGTCACTGTCTTCCTTGCCCCTACCCCCATCACTTTTCCTTTGAAGTAAGATATGGGCACAATGACTCATTTCTACTCTTTCCTTTTAAGTCACTATACCACGATGTTGTGGAACACATACTATCCATTTACAGATTATCAGTGGAGATTTGTTTCTCTTCTAGGTGAACAGGCCCATCATTACATGTTTATCTTCCTTAATTTAAATATCAGAGGGTAAACTTAACCTGCAATTTGGTGCCTGCAATCTGTAGTTCTCTTAAGTATATAGCCCCTGTCCCATTTCTGGAGCCCTAGCATCCATAACACATCCCCTAAACTGTAGTGCTTAGAGGACACCTAAAAGGCCCCCTCCTATCCCATCCCCATTTGGCAGGTCACCTGAGATCCCAGCCCCAGAAAACCTCAGGTTGTATCCTGCATTCCAGGGATGCAGTTCTGAAAAACCCCACCCACACCTCACTCTCAGGGAAGAGAGACAGGGACAGAGAGATTGAATGGCTTGCTCACTCCTGCCTTGACAAACAGTTCTGGGAACTTACAGGAAGAAGAAAGCATCCCCTCTTCCCTTGGACAGCTGCCCAATCAGTGTTAGTTAATTTAAGGAAGGCAGAGTTGTCCTCTGCCTTCCTGACAACCCAGATCCCATGGGAGGGCCCTAGGACAAAGAGTGAGCAGAGGCAAGAGGATGAGTCTTAGTTCTCAGAACTCACCTGCTTGCTGGCTAAACTAGGCCACTAGAGCTTATGAGGCCAGACCAGCTGTAGCCCCCTCCCTCTCCCAGGGTCCTGCCTGGTAACAGGTCACAATGCCCCAGCTGTTCAGTCCTAGAATGGCTGATCAAAGTGGGAGGAGGTGAGAAGGGTTAGTGGGTGGGCAGGGTGGGGAGGGGAAGATACCCAGGAGCCAATTCCCTATACTCTGAGCTCACACTTGAGGATCTGCTAGACACCTACCCCCTCTTCCTCTCCACTCCTCCTCCCTGCTTCCAGCACTAGCTCTTCCCATCACCTCCAACTCCTCCATGACCCGGCTCTGCTTACCCAGGACCAAAGCCCTTGTAGATCTGAATCCACTCCCTTCCAAGGGCCTAGGTGCTGGGGAGGGATTGGGAAGTCCAGTCCATCCATGTGTGTCCCCCTGGCACCCTAGCCAGGCCCAGCTCCTGGACAGTGTCCTGGGGCTGGGGGCGCTAGGGCTGACAATTCGAGCAATCTTTTGCTCAGCTGGCCCAGCCCTGCTGCTGCTGCTGCTACTGGTCAGCTTCCTCACCTTTGACCTGCTCCACAGGTAAGTGGGCAGCAGCCTGGTAGATGGGCGTTGTACGCAGGTGGGCAAGTGGCTGACTTCCCTAAGCGCAGCTGCTTTCCCTTTTTCTCCACAGGCCCTCAGATCCCACCATACCGCAACACAGACTTCTCACAAGGGGCCAGAGTCAGGGGGCCGGTGAGGGTCCAGGACAGCAAGTGGCTCCTCTCCTCCCAACGGGGGCAATCCCAGGACAACTCAGCCTCCAAGACTCACTACTCCTGCTGGGCCTGGGCCTGGGGCTGCTCCTGGGAGCCCGAGGCATGCCCTTGGCCCTGCTGGGTGTGGCTTTCTGTCTCCATCCTTGGGCTTGACGGCTCTCCCAAAATACTGAGTGCCCTCCAAAAATACACTTGTCATCCTGCTTCTTGAGGCCTCCTTTCTTCCATCCTAGGCTAGGTGTGGAGGAGAACACTTCTTTATTCTTAGCCTGAATCTCAGAGGATCTATGGCTCCACAATTCGGACAGTGGATGGCTGGGTGTGGGGCTTGGGACCAGCAAGAAAAGGCAGGATATGAAGCAGGGGGCTCCAGGCAGGAAATGTCAGGCTTCTCAGGGCCTGCAGGTTGGGGACAGCCATTCTGGCCTCCTCTGTGGTTCTAGAAAATGAGGGTCCAGAGAGGAAAACTTGCAAGAGAGTAGGGTGGGTTGGTATCAATCATAAGAGAAGGGGCAGGGATGGGAAGGGCTTCCCACAAGAAAGCCTGAGAAACTACCTCTGTTGGACTCCCCAGGGCCCCCTGCTAGCCAGGAGAGTCCATAGAGAGGGACTCTACAATGGCTCCTCTCTTGGCCAGACCCCACCCCAGCCCGGGTCACAATGGGGCTCCTCTGGGGAGGTGGGGGAGGGTAAGAGTTAGGGCTCGGATTGGCAGCCAGCCTGTCCTGGGTGCAGCAGGAAGCAACATGACTTAGGTGGCTCTATCCAAAGGTAAGACTTGTTCAAAAACCCTACCCTGCCCACATTGATGCCCCCCTGTCCCATGCACTCCCACCTGCCCTGAGGTCCCAAGCATCTCCAGGGCTGCTCCTGCAGCTGGCCTGGCCCTATCCACAGGTGCACCAGCCGTGATGCAGCAGCCACGAGTGGAGACGGATCCCATCGGGGCCGGCGAGGGGCCGCAGCGGGCGGTCCCCTGGTCCGTCTGGGTCACCCGGCAGGGCTGGGTGCGCTGGTGGGTATGCCACGTGCCCCAGAGCTGGGCCCAGTGGTGGACCACATCAGGTCTGCGGCAACCCCTGCAGCGCGTGCTGTGGGGTCTGGAGGGGATACTCTACCTGCTGCTGGCTCTGATGCTGTGCCACGCACTCTTCACCACCGGTACCCACCTGCTCAGCTCCCTCTGGCCTGTGGTGGCTGCCATGTGGCGCCATCTGCTGCCGGCCATCCTGCTGCTGGTGCTAAGTGCCCTGCCTGCCTTGCTCTTCACGGCCTCCTTCCTGCTGCTCTTCTCCACACTGCTGAGCCTCGTGGGCCTCCTCACCTCCATGACTCACCCAGGCCGTGCTCAGGACTTGGACCAATAGAAGGGCATCCCCATTCCGCTGCCTGTGTCTGTTGAGCCCTGACTTAGGGCGTGAGCCCTGGGGAGAGGGAGGGGAGAGGGACCTCAGCAGGCCCCAGACTCTAGTCTCAACACAAGTCAAAGCTGTGTGGTGTGACTGGAGCCAACAGGTAGATTGGCCTGGCCTCTTGCACCTTCCTCAGGCTGCTGCTGCAGGTACCTGGTGTGAGGGCCAGGCTTTGAGGACACAGGACAGATGGCTTGGCCAAGGGCAGAGCTTGGTCAAATCACTGAGAGCACCCATGTGGATGTGGTAACATCGCTGGGGTTGCCTTGGCAACTGGAAGCATCTTTTTGACACAGCTGCTCAGCTGTCTCAGATTCAGACTTTCTGAAGTAATTGGGTACCCCTGGACTTGCCATTGCTCCCACCAGTCCCCTTTTTCCACTTTCAGGAGGATCGCAGGCTCTAGAAAGGGCTCCACTGATAGAAACCTACACAGGAGAGGGCTGACCAGAAGCCCTGCTCACCTTCCTCCAGAGCTTTTTGCCCAGGCATTCCTGCTCCCTATTCTTCCTACTTTTTGCCTCAGTTTATACCACCAAATCTGGAAAATGGGCCAACCAGAGTAGTGAGTTTTACTTTCCCTCCCTCCCTCCCTCCCTCCCTTCCTTCCCCCTCCCTCCCTCCCTTCCTTCTTTCCTTCCTTCCTCCCCCACCCCTTTCTTGTGGTGCTGGAGACAGGACACAAAATTTTATGTATGTTAAGCACACACTCCAATATCAAGCTACATCCCAGCCCTTACCTATGCATTCTTTTAAGAGTCTACGTGACTGTTACAGAAAAACAAGCAAGTCCCATTGCAGTCACTTACACAATGTGTGGTTTTGGTCAATTCTTTTGAGTCTCAGGGTTGACGCAAGCCTGTCACAAGGTTGTTTTCAAAGGTAATACCTGCTTGCAAAATACTTTGTAAAGGAAAAAAAAAAGGAACATTCTGGAGGTCTTTTGACCAGAAAACTGATGAGAAAGCAGGAAGCCTCCCTAGGCTTTCAGAGAAATGCTTTGTCATATATAAAATTTTGGCTCTGATATGGGAAATAGAGGATGGATGGTGTAGACAAGATGTAAAAAGTCATGTGCCATGAAATCTCAAAATTTGCAGATGTTGAACTCTTATGATTGTGAAATGCTTGGTACTGGGGCTTGGTGCCAGAAGATGCTCACATGGCTGTGTGAATGGGGAGAAAACAGTTCAGGCATTTCCTGAACTGACTCAGCAAGCTGCTCACAGCCCAGAAAGGTTTTGCAAAGTGGTGTCACTTGATGCCCCAGATTCTGGCCATTTGCACATCTGTTGACTCTTCCAAACAAACACTGGGTAATAAGTTATTACCAAATAAAGTATATGAAAGAAAATTACCCACAGCTGGGACCTGCCCACTAACTCCCACTCAGTCCCTGATCCTCCCCAACTCCTGCCAAGACCTGGCTCCTACTTTACAGCTAACCCTAAAATCCTTGCTCCTGAAGCCCTAGACCCAAGATCACCTGTCTCCTGCCATAGAAATACTCATGCCCCAGGGACTAACCAGCCCCTAGAACCCTGGATCATTTTCCCCAAATCCACTTGCTATAGTTTTGTGCAGATGCCTTCAGCTTCAGCGTCTGAAACCCAAGAACCAGTCCTTTCCATTTCTCTGTAGTTTTCCCCTGAAACATGACCTGGTAGCAAGGGCAAGGTGGGATATGGAGGTGGCTTAGCTTTATGATTAGCATGATGTACTTTGCTGGGGCTAGGCTTAAATCTGAGCACTGTCACTGGCATTGGTGGCAATTACTAAGCCTTCCTGAACTTCATTTTTCTTAAGGATAAAACAAGGCAAGGCACTTGTCTTAGGGCTTCTGTGGAGCTCCCGGAATGTGGGGAAAGTGCTTGAACCAACTCCTAGCATCACAACCTAGAGCTGTATCATGACTATCCCACTTAGTGAGAAGTCAGACTCAGGATGGCTGATTACCAGTGGGAAAGTCAGGACTTTTGAGTCCCAAACCCCACAAACACTACTGAAGGGAAAGGCCATACAGGATAGAGGGAACACAAAAAACGAACTGAAGACTCTGCGGCTTCCCTTGTTCTCAAAATTTCCTGCTAGAGATAAAACCCAAGGCTATGGAGGTTATAAATCAAACCAGTTGATGTCTGGTGGGCCTGACTCTTCTGTATCTATGTGGTGGGGATGGACCCTAGGATGCCTGTCCTGTCCATCTTTGACTTGCTATGCCTTACTATCCAGGGACATCTCTCTGGACACTTGGGGCCATTCCAATCAAAGGAGAAAAGAGGTTTGGACCCATGCCAGATGCACAGGGGGTGGGGATGTGGGCAGGAACAAGAAAAAAAGCCTTTTCCCCACATAGATATATACCTTCCATCCTCCTACCCTGGTGCAGCAAGACTGGAGAGCAGAAGGATAATACTTAACTAAATTAGACCAACACATACCTTATGACCCAGCAACCCCAAATAAATTCTCACAAAAGTCCACAAGGGCCTTGCTCTTCAAATTGTGGCAGGACCAGCAGTATAAACATCCCCTGGAAGCTGTTGAGAAATGCAAAGTCTCAGGCCTCACCTACCGAATCAGAAACTGCATTTTAATGAGATTCCCAGGTGATACTTGTGTGCATGAATGTTGAGAAATGCTGTATAAGGGGATATGTTTGAGGATATTACTGCACTGCTCTTGGTAGGAGTAGGAAGATGGAAAGGATAAATATGGGCCAAGGAGAGGCGGCAACATAGATTAGTATTAAAATCTTAGGACTCATGAAAAGAAACCAAATGAGAAACAATACAATTCCTTTTGCATGAATTTAAAACATATGCCAGTAAAACTATGTATATGTATGTGTGTGTATATATATATATGTGTATGTATATATATACACACACATATATATATACACACACACATACATGTATATATTTCACAAGAATACATAAAAACAAAAGATAACCAAAATGGCATGGATCACAGTGGCAGGAAAATAGGAATGGGGTGTAGAGGTAAAAGATAATAAAATGAAAGACCTTGCAGAGAAGAAAAATGATGATGTCAACACAATTCCTGAAATTCCTTTTAATGTAGACATAGTCATCCAGTTAGAGTCAAAAGGCTTAAAAATGCAATAGACACGCTGGAATGAAAAAGTTCTAAGCTTTTCCAGTATGGACCAAGAAAGAACTGTCCCACTGACCTGTGTGACCTGGGTGGCTGAGCGGGTATCTTTGCTTGTCCTGCTTGGCTTTATCACCCGGTCTCTGGGCCCTCCCCCGCAGCCTGCTCTGATGGGGGCGGAGTGAGGGCGGGATCCAGCCACGTTTTGGCCTGACATGACAGGGTATTAGGAAACCGAGTGGAGGAGGGGTCATCCGCGAGGGCACTGGCAGTCAAGTAAGTCCCGGTCTTTGACTGGACGCACATACCCTTGGGGGTTCCAAGGAGCAGGTGGCAGAGGGAGGGGGGGGCGGGGGATATGCCCGGTAGGGCTTCCCTCCGCCCTAAGAAGAGGCTGCAAGGAGAAGGCGCAGCTAGAATGAGGCAAGGTCCTATAGGGCTTCGTTAGAGAGTGCTTGCTAGGGTGCATCCCTTGAGATGATCATCAGTGGCCCACCTGGGGGAAGGAAAAGGGCCCTAGGAAAGAGGAAACTGTGCAGCCCCGGGGAACTTCCAAGGGCTGGCTGCAGGAAGCCGGGAAGGGAGCATTTTCCTTCAGACTTGTGGGTGGTTGGGGTTGAGCGAAGCTGGGAGTGGGATGAGCGGCTCATCAGATCCAGCAGTCAGAGGCTGGAAATGGTGTTATCTGGGAGCTGGAGGCGGCCTGCACAGCCCTGCGAGGATGCTCCAGGATCGGGACGGGGCAGGCAGGCACAGCTGTGCGGGGGAGTGAAAGGATCGCATCCGGTTGCGGGTGCGGGGGGGGGGGGGGGGGAGGGTTAGGGGGTGGCACGAAGGCAACTGGAGCGCCTAGTCAAACAGTTGCTAACTTGAGGCTGGGGGAAAGTCGCGGTGGGGAATCCCTGCGCAGCATGGGACACTTGAGCCCAGCTGCGAGGTGCGGGGCACGGAGGGCGGCACTGCTCCTTTCCAAGGCTCAGGTGCATGATGGCTGGCAGGTGTCCAGGCTGGAATGTTGACTGTGGGGCATATCCGGAATGGTGAGGGCCTGAGACTGAGAAGGATTGGAGGGCCATAGGTAGCCAGGAAGGTGCTGGTGCTCCTGGAGCATCGGCAAGGCGCGCCCCCTAGAGGAAATCTCTGGAGTTGACAGTGCAAGATTGGGCTTGGTTGGGGGTGGGAGAAAGAGGGAAGAAGAGATGCTGGTCCCACAGACTTGGACACCACTGGGAGTGAGGAGACAGGGCCCAGGACGATGGAAGGGTATCTGGGACCCACGGTCATAACAGTGACAGCTTCGTTGCCGCCTTATCTCTTTCCCTAAGTGTCCAGCTTGGGTCCCCCCTCCAGACAACCAGAGGCATTGAAGCCAGAGACTCATGAGAATCTGGGGAAGGAACAGCACCAATGTAACCTGTTGATTTGTCAACTACTCTTGTCCCAGTCATGGTCTGATATGATCCCATTTCTTCTGGGATAAAGGGATGTTTTTCAGTAAGGTTCTGTCAGGGTCTGGAGGCACCTAATTTTGGACAAGTCATTTTTTTCTTTCCTGCTCAGCAAACGTTTCCATTTATATTTTGCAAATTTCCTTGCTTTCTTAATACTGATTCCTTGCCTTTTGAATATTTTCCATCTTAACAATAAAAGAACTTGAAAGCTGGGGTTGGGACTCAGTGGTAGACAGCTTGCCTAAGGTGTGATGCCCTGGGTTTAATTCAAAAAATAAAGAATTTAAAACTTGATTATCTGTTGTTTCTACTATATTTTCTGGCCTATACTACCTTCAAATGTCTAACCCAAAATATAAAATGAGAAATTCATCCATTTCTTGTATATATCAATAGTTCAGTTTTTTTTATAGCAGAGTAGTATTCCTCTGTATGGTAAACCAACATTTATATATCTATTCCTCTGTTGATAGACATTGAATTTTTTTTTCAGCTTTTGGCTGTGACAAAAAACAAAAAAAAACCCATGAACATTCATGTATAATAAAAAGATACATTGTTGTATCTTTTTGAAAACATGTTTTAATTTTTCTTGGGTAAAAATCCTAAGAATGAAA